AAATGCAAAGGCTGCTTGGCTCGTAGTCCTCCGCGACACAGCTATCCTCCCGTCTCTGGCCTGATGCCCACCACTCGCGCGCCTCCCCGACCTTGTCTGGCTGCAGGTGAACCCACTTGTCACTCTCCAGGCCGCACGCGTGACACACGTACACTCCCCCGACAAACACGCCGTGGTGGTCACAGTCGAGTGGGCACGCACCGCTTTTTCTCTTCTTCCTGGGCCTGTTCGGAGGTGGAGGTGGCATGCTCTGCGCACGGCGCCGTGTGCTTTTGCCACTACAGGAGTTGCCGCCTTGCGCACGCGCCCCGTCTCCCGCTGAAGCTCTGCGCGACATCCTCCCGGCAGCAACGGGCGCAGCAGGGGTGACCCCTGCAGCCGGGGTAACCCCTGCCCAAATGTCGTAATCGGGTGAGCAGCAAACCCACGAGTGTCCAGTTCATCAATCAATTGTTTCGTGTACCCAGAGGGCGCCCGCAGGCAAGAAAAGGTTCAAAACACATGAAACGGAGGCTCAGATTTCCGGGAGATACCAAAACATTGCGCAAAGAAGCACAGCTCGATCATTTGATCCTACACTGAAAGACTATAAAAAAAATAAGGTTGACATCGGCGGCGAAAATAACTAACTGAGCCGACCGTTGCCTACTTGCGGGCGCGCTCTGTAGCAACACTGCCCATCTTTCATGGTTTCTTTCCTCATGGCTCGGTCGTACCTACCTAGGTTTAGAAATCAAGCCGTACCTACCTCGGTTATTCATATTACTAAATGCCACGGGTTCAGGTAACGCGAGTCACTATCTTAGACCTGTGTACACTACCGTCCGGACCTCCATGCATGCCACGCGGGCGTGCTTGTCGGCGCATCCACATCAACCACCGTCGGGAAGCGAACGTTTGTCTAATTTACCTCTAACCCTCACCTGTAGGTGGAAGTGTCGGAAGTGTGCTCTTGTTCGAGACACCTAGAGAACCTCCACGCCCGCGACCTCTCTCGTTGTCATTGGGTTCCACGTCCATCGGTGTCACCGACACCTCGCTGCTGGGAGAGAGGGGTGCGGGACAATACAAATACATCCGTGAACACAAAACATCGAATGACGACCGTATCGCAGGAAGTTCTCCCAAGGATTCGTCGCGGCAATGGTGTCCAGGGTGAGTCCTGCCCTGAACAGTGGTTCGGGCAAGCTCGTAACTGCTGCTACATACATAATACATACATAGGGGCCAGCAGAAACTTCGCAGCAGACCACAAATAAATACACAACGGCGTTGCTATTGGAAACGCTGGTGTAACTCGTCGCTCGTGTATACCCCAACCTCCTAGTCCACCGGGCAACCACAAATCAGCTTATCGTTCGAACCAACGCTGAAGAACCGCAGGTAAGGAGGCTCTCGACGCCCCATCGCAGCGTTGACATCAACAACAGCGAGATTTCAAGATCGTGTTTCTTCGGTCTGTCTCGAGATCTCTGCTGCTGTACTGCTGTACGACACTCATCGTCTCGTTTCTCACAGGTGCACGGCGCAACCACGGGTTGCGCTCGCACTACTACACTCGCGGTTTCACTGCTACACTCGCGGTCCTCGGAACTAGCTCTGTGTCTGTCCCCTCAGGCACCAGCGAGTCGCAAGACACATGTGTGGGCAGCAGACCAGAGCGACACAAACCCGCCGCAGCAAAACAGCATGTTCCACACGCAATTCCGCGGTGCCGATTTCTTACTTGCAACCACCTCTAGCTCTCTGTTTGAGGGCCACAACACCCCTCGCTTACCTATCCATGGCAGCATCCAATTATCATCGCCCTTGCGCTGAGCATGCTCCGCCGCTATAGTTCCGCCCTATGGTTTCTAAAGAACTGCGGGGCGTTCCCAAAATCAGATGAGATCTGCGCACGCACATTTTTTGCGGCGGAACCCCCGCAGAAATAGCACTGATCTGTCTTCCGACGCCGCCACCGGCGCATCATGTAAAGGGGGTATCCAAAGTTCCCATCCACGAGCCCCCGGACCGGAACCAGAAGAGGAGACAAAGACTCAACCACACTAAGCCATCACACCAGCGAACAGGCAGCGGGCTGCCGAGGCATTGCAGGTATACGAGGATATCGGACAACTAGTTCATACCCTGTAGGAGTTATGGCCTATCGAGAGCTTCAGGGGAGGCTCCAGCTCGCTGAGCAACAGGTGAGCTTTCGCACCGCATATACTACCCTAGTCTACATGTATTTCGCCGCATTTTTTTGTTCACTCTTTACGGAGCGAATCCGGGCGCCGCAGAGATCATGCGTTTTTGCAAACTAGGCAGCTACATCTGATCAACCCGAGTGTTTGCCCTGGATGGCCGTGGTTTTACACCGTCTCCGGCCGTGCTGACCGCCACAGTAGGCTCTCCTCGTGTCTGTTGTGCTATAGCTTAGAGTTCACGGGACGCCCACCCCGACCAAGCTTTGGGCTGCACCGATTGAGCAGCACGCACTGCTGGCTGTTCGTTTCCCTTGAGATGCGTGTGCGTCTGCACCGTAGTAATACTGCCGTGACAGCAAGAGGTCGGCACGCGTCTTCCATGCACGCGACTACAAAAGGTTCGCTTGGATGGCAACCGTGTTTGCACACAGCAGAACAGCAACTATCTCAGAGAGTCAACGATCGTACCTACCGCCGCCCTCGGTGTTTCGACTTGACTCCGCCGCCGCTGCTGGTAATATACTTGGAAGTGATGACATCAGCACCTTTCATCCCCACGATGGTCCAAACTTGTTAACCAGCAAGTTGAGAGCTTCAGCTCTAATCCATCAGAGGGGGGTTGTGTTAAGCACCGCCAGTCTTTGAGGTAGGCAATGCACCATTTTTGGCATATGCATACGCACTTGATGGCGGAGAACACAATTCCTGTGCGGCCTTTCTGTTCGATGACCCGCTGGTGCGCCCAGGACTGTACGGGTAAGGGTGAGGACCGACGTGAAAGATAAATAGCACTTACTAGAGTTGGAGGTGGAATAGTTTTTTGTGGTGGTTGCACAAAAGTACCTGCAGTAGGCTCGTGCATCTGTTCATTGGCTGGCTCGTGTGATTTTCTCGTCGTACAGAAGAACAGGGGGCGGTCCATCATCACCAGCTAGCGAGGGGGTGGTATCCATCATCATTCGCTAGAGGGGGTGGTGGTGTCCATCATCAGCTAGCAAGGGGGGTGGTATCCATCGTCAGCCGTGAGGGGGGGG